TTTCTTTGTAGGAGGTGGCCAAAGTAAGCTTCCTATTTGGTACCCATAATTCTTGCCAGATATGCAGATCAAAGTTGAGATCAAAATCCCTGCTCCACGTTAACATGGTTTCTTTTACCTGTTCTTCATACATTGCCTGATCTAACAAATAATGATATAGCTTTTTAATCATTTTATCCTCAGTACCTAGTAATATTTTATCCTGCCCTATCAGTTCTATTTTTATGCCTCACTCTTTTTTATCTTTCCAATATCTTGCCTGTAGTTGAAGGTATGCCCACCATTCTAGTTCTATCCCTTCGATCAATGACAGTAATTTAAGGGAGATTTGTAATAAAATATATGCTTAGTTGTAGAAAGTGTTTTTTGAAGCTACCACATTGATTTTCTACCATTTTTTCACAAAATAGAATATGAACAGATCCACCAGGTATCAGTCTTTTATTGCATGTATGTTTTGTGAGGAATAACAATGCACAATTTTTTAAAAAAACTACCTTGAGTTGACTAAAAATCTTCAAAATATTTCTTGCACCAAAGTTTCCTACATTCTATAGCCAACACTTAACAAAATCTAAAGAATCTTATTTCTTCAACCACAACTAGAAATATTTGAAAGACAGAGTGGCTTACATTAGAGATACAGTAAAACCTTTTGCTCATTTCAGCAATTTGGGGGGAGCTGGCTAAGATTATAAAAAGAAAAAAAAACCTCTTTATATGATATGTCATAAGGTTTTACACAAGGATGTTCCTTCAATTTCAGTTCATAAAAATGATAAACTATATTGGATGTCATGCCACCAATTAATAAATCACCACTCTGCATGGAGATCTATAAGGGGCTGCCCTTGAAAAGTATCTGGAAGCTCCAGTTGATTCAAAGTGCAGGCCCCCGTATGGTTTTATGCACACCCAGATTATACATATGCCAGCTGTCTTGTGGGAGTTGCATTGGCTGACAATTTGCTTCCGGGTACAATTCAAGGTACTAGTTGTCACCTTTAAACCCTACATGGCTTGGGACCAAGTTATTTGAAGAACTGTCTCTTCCTGATCAGATCCACATGATCCACTAGAGCAAGGAGGCAGGCAATGTTTAGATTGGCCGCCACTTTGACACTCTTTTGCAAAGACATGAGCATATGGTTTTGCCAGTAGGTCTGTGGAACTCAGAGTAGGTTGGAACCTATGAAGTCACTCAACTGATTCATTGTAATCCACGCAGGTGTGTTTTTATTGTTTATATATTGGGTTTCATTTTTTTTAAATAGCTTACAGACACTGACTGTCAACACTACAAATGAATTTGGCTGCAGCCATTTTCATCTCATTTTTCGGTTGCAACAGAAATGGGAAGAGGTGTGTGTATTCTTTTTGTCTAGCTAAAACATAAAATTGTTCTGTGGGAACCAAGGTCATTGCTACCAGAGTTTTGGCAGGTAGAAGTGTCTGCTAGAAAGACCGCCAAACTAGTGCATTGGGGAATGTGATTTATGACATAGAAATGGGGTGGGAAGTTCATCTTTGTAACTTTATAACTTTGGAAGAAGGGAATTTTAGTCTTGGTTTAAACTTTGTTCATGCTGATACTATGTAGCCATTTAAAATGCTCTTTGAGGAAAGCAATTGTTTCGGAGTCCTTTTTTCTATTGGGTTCATCTATTGGAACAATGACATTGACAGTGAGTGGGAGGCCATAAAATTCTGTGAAATAAATAAATAAATACATAAATAAAACTCCATACAATGATGTTTCATAAGGTTTTATTCAAGGATTTTCCTTAAATTTCAATTTATATATAGTGGAGCTGGGGTGAGAATGGGGCAAGCAGAGAGGTTTTGCGGGAGCTCAAGCAACTGCTGTGGTTCTGGTGGCAAGATGTTGCTCTGAGGAGGGAAGAAAAGGTAGGAGGAAGCCAATGGGAGAGGAGAGACAAAGAGACTGGAAAGTAGCATTTGGCTGCACGTTGAGCAGAGCCAGCTGAATGAGGAGAGAGAAAGAGACTGGAAGGTGGTGTTTGGCTGGACATCAAGAAGAGCCAGATGAGGAAGAGAGAGAGAGTAGCTTAATGGAGCCTGCCATCCAGAGCCAGCTGAGTGAAGAAATAGAGATAGAGTAAGAAGGTGGGATCTTTGTATTTTTCTGCTTTGTTGCAAGCAAGCCGGACGAAGAGGGGGGATAGAGAGTGAGAGTAGCATGTTGAAGTTTTTCTTGGTTTTTCTTCATTACGACAGGCCAGACAAAGAGAGAATAGGTTGGGGAGTTTTATTTCTTTTCCCTTATTGGAGCCAGCTGGTTGGAGGGAGAGTCAGGAAAGAGTTTGACTGGGTTGAGGGTATGTCTTTTAGTGGGAAGTAGAGGAATTTTTAAAGCTTGTGGAAACGGAAAGGGATTAAGGAAGGGATGGGGAAATTACATATAGTGAGGGCAGAGAGAGACAAGGAGATTGGATAAAGGAGGTCCCCTTTGAGCTCCAGAGAGGGATTGATTACCATCATCTTAGGCAAGAGACTGACAACCATTGGCATAGGCAAGTCGCTGTTACCAGTGACTGACGACCATCGCTCTAGGCAAGTTTCTGTTACCAGAACTGACTAACATTGTCTTAGGAAAGTTGCTGTCACCAAAGACTGACAACCATTGGCTTAGGCAAGTTGCTGTCACCAGAGACTGGCTACCATCATCATAGGCAAGCTGCTACTATCAGACACTGGCTAATATCATCCTAAGCAGGTTGCTGTTATTAGGGACTGACTACTACTGTTGTACACCAGCTGCTGTTACCAGGACCTGACTACCATCGTCTCCTGTCAGTCTTACTGCCTGAGGTCAACCATCATCATCCCACATGAGTTACCATCAAAAGAGATTAACCATCACCACCCCATGGGCATGGCTGCCAACTGTGACTGAACATCACCATGCTACATGCCCTGTTAGGCAGAGGTGCCAATGTGAGAGACTCCTTGGGTTGGCAGCCAGCTGAAGAGGGGGGCAAGAGGGTCAAGACTTTAGCGCTCCCTCCAGGAGTGGTGCTACATATACAACTGGTAAAGTATGTGGGACATCATGCCACCGATGATGAGAAAAGGGGAAGTATCACTTGCAAAGTAGTCCAGAGTATTGAGTTTCTATCTCAATTAGGGTTGCATGTGCACTATAATTTGGGCCACTTGCCCTGCCCATAAGGTCTGTTTATCTATCTATCTATCTATCTATCTATCTATCTATCTATCTATCTATCTACATTTCTACCTACATACTTATATACCTATCTATTATCAACATCAAGTGAATATTCAAAATTTCTTTGGGTTTTTCATGTTTGTAGTCCCTCCCTATATCAGAGAGGGCGATACATGTTTTCTAGGATTTGTGCTGAATTTTAGGTGATTTTCTTGAAAAATGCCACACTTCTTATTGTAAACCCATTCAAATCACTCTTTGTTATGGTCATTGGTGAGCATACATTTTGAATGAAGGATGAGACAGAAGGAAGAATACATTTCATTTCACTGTATTTCCCATATTATTAATATATGATAACAGGTTGCTCTGGAAATGGATTTATTGATAGAGTGAATGGTTATGAACCAGCATGAACACCTATTTCAAGGTGCAGTTAAATGTACAGGATTCACAAACTCAATACATTCTACATTTCAAGACCCCTAAAATAATCAAACCTGCTATCATATAATAGTATGCTCAATACACATTAATAAAATGACAAAAACAGTTCTTACTATATTTATGTAGTGCTTTATTCTTTTTTGTCACTAATTTCTCTGGGCCAGAAAGATCACATGTTATACTAATTTCCCTTTGTGAGTTGCTCCCTATGGTTGATGTCAGCCCAGCAAACAATGATGTAGATTTTGGCAAAAATATGCATCCCAGTAATGCAGCACTGAAGGACCAACAGAGAAGACCTCCAAAACTACCATGGCGTTTCCTTTTGTGCTCAGGGAGACTGGAAAGAAGGAGATCCAAACACTGCAAAAGGCCAACATGCTGAAGGTGATGAACTTGGCTTCATCAAAGCTGTCAGGTAATTTATGGGCAACAAAAGCCACCATAAAGCTGGCAAGAGCTAAGATATACATGTAGCCCAAGTCACAATATCTAAGTATATTTCATTGATCCATTGATTTAGTCACTTTGTTGAAGAATGAAATAAGATTTGTTTGGCATGACCTCTTTTTGATGAATCCATGTTGCTTGAGCAGGGGGATGAACTAGAAAACTTTCAAAGTCCCTTCCAACTCTGTTATTCTGCTACAGGTTATAACCTTGTTTGTTTCAAGGTGTTGGAAGGTTTGTTTCTGGATTATCTTTTTCCAAGATCTTTCCAGGTATTGATGTCAGGCTGATTGATCTATAATTTCATGGATCTATTTTTTTCTCCTTTTTGATTAAGGACACCACAATGTCCTTAATCAAAAATTAAAATAAATGAAAAATGAGAGGAGAAACAAAGGTAGTGAAGGGAAATACAGATATAATTGCAATCTCAGAGGACCTAGAGAATAACCTGGCCTAGAAAGAGTGTTGAGTTTCTTTGTCTTTAAAATCATTTCCAACTCTAAGACTTAGTTCAGAATTTCATCGTATGAATTTCTGTCTTTACTCTTTATCACTTCCCACAAGAGATGTCTGTACATAAACTAATATCCTGTTTTAAATTTTGAATTATAGAGAAACCCAAATGGAAAAGGCCCAAATATCAGGCTCTTTCCCTGAAATTCTACTAAAAACAATCTTTGATTTTGTGAAGAAGTGAAAATTGCACGTAAATGTCTTCATTTCTATCATCAATAGATCAGCAACAGAAAATAGCTCTAACTACTTTAATAGGTACTTCAATTCATTTTTCCATTTCATTAAAATGTGAAATCAAGTTACCTAAATGAAATCCTTATGTAATTATGGTCACTAGGACTTCCTATTCTTGTTTGTTAGGAATTTCTCCTACTGAGAAAAGTCACATGTTATACTAATTTCTCTTTGAGAGATGCTCCCTTTGGTTTAGTTCAGGCCGAAAAACAATGATGTAGCATTTTGGCAAGAATATGCATCCCAGTAATGCAGCACTGGAGGACAAGATGGAGAAGATCTCCACAGCTACCATGGCTTTTCCCTTTGTACTCAGATAGGCTGGAAAGAAGGAGATCCACACACTGCAAAAGGCCAACATGCTGAAGGTGATGAACTTGGCTTCATTAAAGCTGTCAGGTAATTTACGGGCAAGAAAAGCTACAATAAAGATGGCAATGGCCAAGACACCCATATAGCCCAATACACAATAAAAGAAGAAAGCTGACCCCTCATTGCATTGTAAAATCATTTCTTGGAGCTGTAAATGCATGTCCAACTCAGGGAATGGTGGAGATGTTGACAACCAAAGAATACAAATACATACTTGGAAAAAGGAGCAGAAAAGGACAGTAGAAAAAGCCAATCTTTTCCCTAACCATCTTCTCATGTGAGATCCTGGTTTAGTGGCCATGAAAGCAACCAGCACAATGATGGTTTTGGACAGCACACTAGAAATAGCCACTGAGAATGTGGTTCCAAAAGTTGATTGTCGGAGAAGGCAGGTTACTTTCCCAGGTTGGCTGAGGAAAAACAAAGAAGAGAGAAAACAGAGCAGAAGAGAAACAAGAAGGGTGTAGGTGAGGGACTGGTTGTTGGCTTTGACAATGGGAGTGTCGCTGTGCTTAATAAAAGTTCCAAGTACCCAAGATGTCAAGAAAAAGAAACCAAGAGCTGATGGGGCTAAACCAATTCCTAAGGGTTCTTCAATAGTTAGAAATACCACCCGTTTCAGGGTACATCCATTCTTTTCTTTATTTGGATAATGATCTTCTGGACATTCAAAACAGTCATCCATATCTGGGAGGAAAGTCAAAGAAATTTGTTATCTGGGCATTCCAAATCAATGAAACTCATTTTATTAATTGTATGCATCGTAAACTTGTATATTCAAGTTTGCTTAAGTCTAATGAAAAATGGTAGAATTCCTACCATACCATTTTGATTTGAAATCTTCCCTTCTGGGCATGGAACACAGTCATAGCAGCAGAACTGATCCCCTTCAATCCCTTTCTTCCAGTCCCCAGGAAAACAAGGGTCATTGCATCGAGAAAATGGAAGAACCTTACCATAAATTAAAAAAAAATCTTTTGAAAAGGAGGGTTTTTAAAACAGTTTCTGATTTTTCTGATTTCAGATGGAAATGCACACCAAATGTGCAATGGCTTTTACATTGCAATATCACCTTTGCAAATCTGATGAATCAGTGATCATCAACACCATTTGAAGGAATATGCCATTGTTTAGTTAAAAAAAACCAGAAATTAGTTTTCTAAAGAAACTATCTTCAATATGGTATCCTAATCGACTAAGGCATGGTGGATTCATTAATTCAATACCTGGTTAAAAGCTGGACTCCAGACAATCAAATCTTCATCCATGGATAATTCCTTCCCTTTTGGAGCTTGTAGATCCATCTTTCCAATTCTAACTCTCTGAAAGGATCTGTTTGGAAAAGTGATCAAACTGGTGATGTCAAATCCATCTGTTGCTTCCCCTTTCTCATTCAGGAACACTTTCTCCCCAGCTGAATTGTTGAAAGAAATGCCATGAAGAAATGGATGGAGCTACTTGAAAGAGAATGAAAGAGAGAGGATGTTGAGAGCTATATAATAGAGAGGAGAAAATTATATTAAAGTTTCATTCAATCATTCTTCCAATTGTTATAACTATTATTAAATATATGTGCTTAGAATTTGGATAATCAATATTGCATGATAATGTACATGTCCACACTATATACCTAATTTAATATTAATATAAGGAAAGGAAAGAATGAACTGAAGCAGAAAGTAAAAAAAGATTCTGGATTTTTGTAACTTCCTTTAATTATGTTTTAGGTTCACTATTTAAACAACTAATTCAAGATAAATCATATCTAATCTTTCCTCATCGATACAAAGTTATTTGACAGTCTGAGGTCTGACTAATGTCCTTTAGCCAGTTTTTAGAATCTGAGATCCAAGCATTCCTCCATAGAGAGATGCAAGATAGAGATTATTGCAAACATGTTTCATACTGTGGATGCCTCATCTAAAAAGGACCATTTTTATTTCATTCCTCTTAACCTCTGATAGAGATAGGAAGCTCAGCTTTTTACCCATGAAAAGTTCATGAGCCACACAAAGTTTTGGGGGAATTGACTGTTTTTGGAGAAGGCAATGACAAGTAATCTAAATTATCACTTTAACTAGCTCATATTGTGCAATGTGTGGTGATTTAGTAAATAAAGTCTGCTGACATATAAACCATAATTTATACAGTAACTTCTCAATGACCAGAATAATAACAGAAACTACTTTTTCTGTAGAAAAGAACAGTATGTCAGAGTCAAAAGGGACCAGAAGGTCTTTTGATCTTATACTATTTCAGATAAATGGCAGTCCTTCTCTTAAAAATATCCAGTGTAGGAGCATGCAAAACTTCTGAAGGCAAGCTGTTCCATTAATTCATTTTTAATTGTTCTCACCATCAGGAAATTCCAACTTATTTCTAAGTTGTTTTCTCAACATTGATTCCAACTGAAGAAAATATTAAGACTTTACACAATGGGTTCAAAAAATAATTCTACTTCAAATTGCTTATTGAAATACAAGAAATGTCCAATGAAAAGGGAATACCTGCCAAGCCTGGAGATGTGGAAGATCAGGATTTTTACACACCATAGTTTTTTTTCTATTGGAATGTAATGTGTATAGAGCTTGCAAAGCATGAGCCACAGCATGAACAGCATTGTAGATACTATAGCTTTGTCCAGTCATTTCCATTTCAAAGGCAGGTCCAGGAAGATATTCTAGCTTCATCTCACCAGTGCACTGCCTACTCTGCATTTCTGCTTTTGGAAATTCTGCTTTTGGAAATGAACAATCAAATAACTGTTCCCAAACTTCCCAAAGAAACTCATCTCTGTAGACTGAAAGAGGATTTACGGTCTGAAGAAATTCCTTGAAACCTACAACTGCTGTTGAATGAGCACTGAATGAAATAGCCCCATGAAACACCTGGAGATCCCAACTGATTTGGAATCCTGATAATACGAAATCAATCTGTGCAGTCATGATCCATACCTTTCTAAATAATGAAATTTCCTTCCTTTCAGGATGTACTATAAATGTGACAATTCTTAGCCACATAATTGTCAATGCTTCTCCATAGACAAGAAATGCATTGGCTTTGCTATTTATCCAATTCCATGAAATAGTTGAGATTGTTTGATAAATTTGTGGGAAGTCTTCCAGGTGTACTCGTGAAAGCCTTTGTATGAATGATGAGCAGATTCCATTCTTTGCAAGTAAGGGCTGCATTTTCTGTAAAAAATTTTCTCCATTGTTGTTATCAATAGCAAAAATCCCAATCCAGGTCCAGCTGAAATGGTGAATTAGTTGGATAATCCCAATGTACTGATGGTCCTCTTTTGGGACCATGAAATAAAGTGAAGAGAGCTTACTGTTCTCAAATTCCTCTTGGGCCAATGAGCCGTATGTCAGCTGCAAGAAAGTGCAGCTTTCTTGGAATTACTTCAAACACATATAATTGATCAATTCTTTGATAGAAGCAAAGAATTCTATGTTCATGTTTTTCCTCACATAGGGAATGTCTATGGATATTCACTTCTTTAATTTGGCATTATAATTTCAAAATTATGCTAACTAATAGACCTTAAGCCAGGCAGAACATCTTTTTACAAATCTAAGCTAATCTTAATGCCCCTTAATTATTTCATAACAACATCAAGAACAGAACATAGAATTTTTCTGTTTAACCCTTTCACCACTTACTTGTGGAATCTTGAAGAATCTTGTAATTTCAGCAATATGAGATGATGTGACAAAATCCAATCCCCCAATAATAGCCATGAGATTCTTCTGGCTATCACAATTGTAGTTAGGAACAAATTCCTTGGATTTGAAAAGGAGGTCCAGAGTGGTGCGATAGGTCATCCTTGCATTGAGGTAACTGTCATAGATGTGGAACCCGAGAGTGATGTTAGGTAAGGAATGAAAGTCCTCATTGATCTCCTTCACAGCAAAGGCCAAGGCAAGGACGTGTTGATGAAATTTGGTGATTATGCTACAAATAATTTAAACCCCCCATTGAATTTTTTTTACGAGCCTTGTAAGTTGGCATCATTTCCATATAAGTAAGAAACATCTTATGGTAGTAAGAAGACAATAGCTTTCCTAAAATGCTTAATAATTTGTACAGAGTTCAAATTTATTTTAAACAGTATTTCCATGATTTCCAACAAATATGTACTACAACAAATACAAGTAGTGGCCCTTTTCAAAGTAATATATTTTCTATCACTTATTTACTGTATATTTGTTTTATTAAAGAGAGATAATGCCAAACCTTTTTTAAAAAATTCTTTATGTCAGTAATTGTTCAAATAGAGACTTCTTGATTTTAAATTTTGTACATTTCATGTCAAGGACTTTGAAAAAAATCTAAAGGTTATTTTTTCTCTCACAATGAGGTACAACTCCAAAAAAGAAGACATAGATTACATCAAAAATCCTAAATGTATGAACAAAGATATTTTAGTCATATAAAGGATTTTTGAAAGTCTGGGTAATATTAGATAGAGAAAAATATTCTTACGTTGGTATTTCATAAGGTTTTATAGAAGGGTTTTCACTAAATTTAATTTCATAAAGGTGGTAACCCATGTGAGATGCCATCACACCAATGATAAAGTCACCACGCTGATACCACTCATGTGGAACAAGGAAAGCATCACTCGCAGGACATCTCAGAGTAAATACTTTGTGCACCAAAAATATCAGAAAAAACATTTTCATGCTTTTGTTATTGTGAGAATGTTTTTCCATTCTATTGATCAGGAAGTACATATAATTCAATACTTCATCTAAAGATTGATCCAAGGCTTATATCTGAGAATGCACCTAATGAGACAATCTATCAGTTTTTATTTAAAGATCCACATGAGCGCAAAATTGCATCTTGAACACCATCAGGATTTGAATAGATACTCTGGCAGAGGGAAACAGAGGATAGAAAGCTGAAGCAAAGCATCTGACAGAGCCATTATTACCCTTGTGCCAAACTTCCTATGGTTCAAGTGTTACTTTATATCCAGACTGATACCTTGATCGTTGTTGAATATAATTCCGTTCTGTGCAGCCTTTGGTGTTTTGGTCTAGCTAAGAAAACATGGTGATTTCTCTAGGAGATAATTGTTTTGTTTTGATGAGATAATAATTGGCTAATAGTTCAACTTTTTTTTTTTAAATGAGCAAATGCCAATGACAGTAATATAAGGGAGATTTGCAATAAAATATATGCTTAGTTGTTGAAAGTGTTTTTTGAAACTACTGCATTTGTTTTCTACCACTTTTTCACAAAATAGAATATGAACAGATCCAGCAGGTATCAGTCATTTATTGTGTGTATATTTTGTGAGGAGTAATATTGCACACTATCTTTTTTTTAAAAAAAAATACCTTGAGTTCACTAAAAATCTTCAAAAAATTTCTTGCACTAAAGTTTCCTACTTTAACAAAATCTAAAGAATATTATTTCTTCTCCCACAATTAGAAACATTTGAAAGACAGAGTGGGGGAATTAATTTCAGCAGTTTTGGGGGAATTAATTTCAGCAGTTTTGGGGGAATTGGCTAAGATTATAAAAAGGTAAAAACAATCTTTACATGGTATGTCATAAGATTTTACAGAAGAAAGTTCCTTAAACTTCAATTGATACCAACATGTCCCATATATCATCAAGAGAATTCAGCACAATATACACTTTGTGTTCTTCTGAAAACCCCATTCCTTGCCCTTCTAATTCAAGGAAGATTTTTCTTATGAACTGGAGGTGATCCGACCAACTTTCTCCAGACTGTAGCCTTGCTCTATAGTTTTCTTATGACAGTTAGTTTACAGCTTGTTGTCTCTCTTACATAAATTCTGTGTAAGACAAGCCAGTATTCTCTAGCAGATCAGTTAGCCCATGCACATGCATTAGCTGACTATCCTCCAAGCACAAAATTATGCTGGCTTGGGCTTTTTCATTTTGCTTTTTCTCTTTGTCACCAAGACGTCCTGGAAGATATTTTACACAAATCCTTCCTCTGTAGAAAAATTCTCATTTTTAAGCTCCATGAGAGAAAATTAGACTCATTAAGATGAGACAAAGGAAAACCTCTTCTAATTCCTGTAACAGATAGCATTGTGCTGTGTACACAAGCTAATTGTTCTCAACCTTCCTTGGGCTCATGAAAAACTTTCACTATCTCATCAGACTATCCTTACTCTTGAGAAAAATTTACTCCTGCTACTTCAGGGCACATCTGGGCTGATAACATGTTAAGGAATTGTGTAGCAACTGTCCAGATGAAATTGGAGACACTAAGACAAACTTTATATATATGCGTTTTATTTAGCATTTAATTTTATAACAGTCTTTGTCATCAATTAGAATAAAAGGACACAAGATAGTCAGGAACACAAGACTATCATGAGGTAAATTAAATAGTATACAGAACACATAGAAGAAAAAGGTGGGAAAAAAGGGAAATACCCCCTTTATACTTAAAGCAACCAATCATAGCATAGATTGCCTCATGCATGAGTCAGCATTCTCTAACTAAGTTACCTCAACTGTGTCTTCTGGACTATTACAGTATACACCAGGGATGTCAAACTGCCGACCCATGGGCCAGACATGTCATCCAAAAGCCACACCCACCCCATTGCCAACAACGGCAAAACAGTCCTGATATGTTGCGCGACATCACATAATGTCGTGAGTTTGATATGTCTGGTGTACACTTTCCTGTTCCAGCTACTAAAGTCAATATCCTAAAATAGGGGTACTACTATTCTGTCAATGTGTTTCAATGCCCCCGCCCTCAATTGAAACTGGGGAAACAGTACCTGATGGGGCTCCTAGGAGAGCATCCATCTGTTGCCCCAGAAAATTGATTGAGACGTTTCTGTGTCTTGATCCTGGTAATAAAGTACTGGGGGCATCCTTTAGTTGACATTGATTACTGTCTCTTATTGGGTATTATAGCCCTGCAGAACCAAGTCTACAGCACAGTTGTAGTCTCTATGTGAGGAAAGGACTGCTTCTTCATCCTTCCCAAAACATCTGGAAAATCTGTGTACTTAACTGGTATCTTAGCTTTTCCCTACTTGGGGCTTTCTGCCAGTTCCTGTAAAGGATGTGTTAATCTGCTGCTCGTATTTGGTTGATAAGATGGAGCTGGAGCTGGAGTTCCAGCCTGGGATTTGAAGTTACAGCCACCCTGATCTCATGATGATCGGAAAGAGAAGGTGGCTGGTGACATATAGGGTTAGCAGTTCTGTATGATGGGCTATTGCTAGATATTGAAGTGCCTAGAATGACTGTAGGGATTTGTAAAGTTTAACTACTGCAAAATCTATAAAGTTGGTTCTTGCCCCAGAATCCACTAACCCTATAGTCCCTTATTCCAGTCCTTGTGGTAGGTCAAGGGAACATAAAATTTCAACAATGTACCTTGATTTAGATGGAGTTGATCTTTCTTTAATGTCTGAATATTCCCTTTTGTGAACTCTTGTGAAAAGGGATGCTTCAGTTTCCCTAGTTCTGGCCTCTGTGTTCAGCACAGTGGTCTCCCATGCCTTGGCTAAGAGGTCTTTCTCCTTTCTGGAGGCTCTGGTTAGGCAGATTCTCACTATATGCCCAGAATCTCCACAGTAAAACAAACAAAGAAACAAACAAAAATAAAAAACAGTACCAGGTCTCTACACGTCTCTCTTTCTTCAGCAAAAGTGATCTCTTTATTTCTCCTATTTGAATAGGCTCCTCTCCCCATGGCTCAGTCCTTGTCAATAATAAGGGAGAGAGGGGTGAGTAGTTATAATTAACCAGTGGAACAACTTGCCTCTAGAAGTTACGAATGTTCCAACATTGGAAGTTTTTAAGAAGAGATTGGACAACCACTTGTCTGAAATGGTATAAGGCTTCCTGCTTGAGCAGGGGATTGGACTAGAAGATCTCCATGTTCCCATTCTTCTCTTCTCTTCCTTTCCCTTCCCTTCCCTTCCCTTCTCTTCCCTTCTCTTCCCTTCCCTTCCCTTCCCTTCCCTTCTCTTCTCTTCTCTTCTCTTCTTTTCAATTTTATTCTATGGGGGATGGGGAAAGAAATAATGGAAAACCTCTTAAAATGAGGGAACAGAATAACATAACCTGGAGTTAAAGAGAAACTTCCTGACTGTGAGAACAATTAACCAGTGGAAGAGCTTGCCATCACTTGAGAATTTTAAGAACAGTCTAGACAGTCACTTGTCTGAGATGGTATAGATTCCCTGCTTGATCAGGGGGCTGGACTAGAAGACCTCCAAGGTCCCTTCCAGCTTCTATTCTATTCTATTCTATTCTATTCTATTCTATTCTATTCTATTCTATTCTGTTCTATTCTGTTCTGTTCTGTTCTATTCTATTCTATTCTTGTTAACACTATGCAAAGGAAGATGGACTGCATTTATCATTTGTTGTGAGAAATAATATGAATTTTAAAAAATCATGTCTATTTTGTATTGTCACCCCTCTCTATAAATTGTATAGAGGTGGAGAAGTTAACAACTAAAAAAAACATATTTTTCAGCTGTGTCTTCTCTCACAAAAAACAAAATAATTATCTCCTACAGCAGTGGTTCTCAAACTTTCTAATGTCATGACCCCATAATACAGTTCCCCATGTTGTGGTGACCCCCAAGTGGGTGTGGCCACCAATAAGAGGGAATAGGACAGCTAGGGAAAAGGGGAAAAAATGGTGGACAGCGTGGTTTGGCGACCCCCGTGAAATGGTTGTTCGACCCCAAATGGGGTCCCGACCCACAGGTTGAGAACCACTGTCCTACAGGAATCACCACATTCTCTTAATTAGACAAAAACATCAAATACTGCACAGAAGGCTATTTAAATTCAACAACAATCATTGTATCTGTGTGAGTATAAAGTAACACTTGAACCACAGCAATATTGGCTCATGGGTGATAAAGGCTGTGTGTCAGACTCATTGCTACAAATTGCCTCTCTTTCTTCTCCTCTGCCAGAATATCAGAATACCTGATGATAGTAATAGCTCTTAGATTTATATACCTCTTAGCACTCTCTAAGCAGTTTTCAGAGTCAGCATATTGTCTCCAATAATTTGGGTCCTCATTTTACCAACCTCAGAAGAATGGAAGGCTGAGTCAACCTTGAGTCGGTCAGGATTGAACTGCGAAGCTGCAGGCAGCCAGCAGGTAGCAGAAGTAGCCTGCAGTACTGCATTCTAAACACTGTGCCATCACGGCTTTTACTGATATTAAGACACAAATTTGCATTCTCTTGGATCTTCAAATAGACATTGGTAAATTTTCTGATTAGGTGCACTCTCAGATGCACATCTTGAATTAATTACCGAATTAACTGTTGGAATAATACAAAATTCCCTATGATAAAGGATAGGATAGGAGTCAGAGACATTTTGCCTATAACAAAGATGTTTCTCCTTCTAATATTTTTAGTGAAAAAAAATAGTTAGTCTGAGTTGCCCTAGAAGTGATGCTTTCCCTGTTCCAACACAAGTGGTACCATCCCCTCTCTCATCTAACTATCAAAGTATGCTTGAGTCTCAAATACTAAAATCTGGCTAAAGGAGATTAGTCAGATGTCAGACTGTCAAATAACTTCATACCAATGAGGAAAGATTTGATATGGTCTACGTTAAATTAGTTGTTTAAATCGTGAAGTTAAATAATAATTGGTGGAAGTTACATAATTCCAATGGCCTGTCTTCATTCTGCTTTGGGTGATTGTTCTTTTTTACCTGTTCTTAAAATAAGATTAAATTAATAATAAAGTAGACATGTACATTTTCATGCAATATTGAATACCAAATTTAATAACTATTGTAGGAATGAGAAAAATAAGTGAATGAAACTTGAATATGATGTTCCATTCCTCTATTATTATTTTTTCAATTCCCTCTCTCATTTTTTTTCAAGCAGCTTCATTCATTTCTTCAAGGCATTTCTTTTAACAATTCAGCTGGGGAGACAGTCTTCCTGAATGAGAAAGGGAAAGAAACAGGTGGATTTGACATCACCAACTTGATCACATTTCCAAACAGATCCTTTCAAAAAGTAAAAATTGCGAAGATGGATCCCACGGCTCCAAAAGGGAAGAAATTATTCATTGATGAAGAGAGGATTGTCTGGCACCCAGTTTTCAACCAGGAATGGAGGCATTTAATCAACCCTGCTTTAATCCATTAGTGAACATCAGAAATACAATTTTTATTTTTAAAATAAAATAAAAAAACTGGCATATTTTTTGCAAATATTGTTAATGGTCAAGCATTCATCAAATTGACAAAATAACATTACAATGTAAAAGCCACATTTGTATATTTGGTTTGCATTTCCATTTGCATACAGAACATTTTTCACAGCATTGTAACATACAGGACCTTTTGCACAACATTGTAATTTCTACATCTTTTTAACCTCCACTATAAAATCTAGTTGATTCAATGCTCATTTGGGAAGTCAAAAATAATTTCAGTGCATTAAGGAGAAAATTCAGGAACTCTTTTCAAAACATTTTCATGTTTGTCACCAGATTCTTCCACTTTCTAGATACAATGATGCTTGTTTCCCTGGAAATTAGAAGAAAGGGATTGAGGGGGATCAGTTCTGCTGCTATGACTGTGTTCCATGCCCTGAAGGGAAGATTTCAAATCAAAATGGTAGGGTAGGAATTCTACCAATTTTCATTAGACTTAAGCAAACTTGAATATATAAGTTTAGGATGCATAAAATTAGTAAAGTGATTTTTCAATAATTTAGAAGGTATAGAGGACAAATTCCTTGATTTTTCTTCCAGATATGTATGACTATTTTGATCATTATCCAAATAAAGAAAATAAAGGATGTATCCTGAAACGGGTGGTGTTTCTAAACTTTGAAGAAACCTTAGGAAATGGTTTTGCCTCAGCAGCCCTTTGTTTCTTCTTCTTCACATCTTGGGTACTTGGAACTTTTATTAAGCACAGGGATACTCCGATTGTCAAAGCCAACAACTGGTCCCTCACCTACACCCTGCTTGTTTCTCTTCTGCTCTGTTTTCTCTCGACCTTGTTGTTCCTTGTCCAACCTGGCAAAATGACCTGCCTTCTCCGACAATCAATGTTTGGCATCATTTTCTCGGTGGCTATTTCTAGTGTATTGGCCAAAACCATCACTGTAGTTGTTGCTTTCATGGCCACTAAACCGGGATCTCAGTTGAGGAAATGGGTGGGAAAAGATTGGCTTTTTGTACTGTCCTTTCCTGTTCTCTCTTACAAGTGTGTATTTGTATTCTTTGACTGTCAACATCTCCACCATTCTCTGAGATGGACATATATTCAGAGCTCCAAGAAATGATTTTACAGTGCAATGAGGGGTCAGCTTTCTTTTTCTATTCTGTCTTGGGCTACATGGGTGTCTTGGGCATCGCCAGCTTTGTTATGCCTTTTCTTGTTCATAAATTACCTGACAGCTTCAATGAAGCCAAATTCATCACCTTCAGCATGTTGACATTTTGCAGAGTGTGGATCTCCTTCTTTTCAGCCTATCTGAGCACAAACGAAAAAGCCATGGTAGCTGTGGAGGTCTTCTCCATCATGTATTCCAGTGCTACATTACTGGATACATATTCTTGCCAAAATGCTACATCATAGTTTTCCAGCCTGAGCTAAACCATAGGGAGAAATTCATAAAGAGAAATTAGTACATCATGTGATATTTCTGGTTCAGAAAAATTCCTGAAAAAAGAAATAGAAAGATAGTTTGCACTTTACAGGAAATATATGCAGTATAAAACTTATAGAATTATAGAAGTTTTTATTCCTATGAAAGAATGATTTATATAGAATATTTTTGATTATTAAGAGTTACTGCTTATTCCAGAATAAGTGTTCATTTTGCTGCAATTTCACTAGTTTGCAAGATTTTTCAACACAGCTGTTGAACTAGACTTTCATAATGTAGCTTTCCTGGTTGCTATTAGGGTATTTCAGATATTGTCTTAAACTATATCCAATGTTTGCAGAGACATTTTCATGGATTTTATACTTTTGATTCATAAAGCATTACATAAATATAGTAAAATGCTAATTAACATTTGATGGGTATATATTTAATATAGTATATCAGTATAGGATTTGTTAGAGTTCCTTGAAGTGTACTTGTGCTATACATTTAAAAGCATTTTTAAAAACTCCTTCATACTGGGTAATAACCATACACTCTCTTTCCATTAATTTATATTTCCACTGTAATCTGTTGTCAGGTGTTAATGACATGGGACATTTATTGAAATGATATGAAATGTATTCTTCCTTCTGTCTCATCCTTTTTCCTAAGTGTTTGCTTACCAATAAACATAATAAAGAATGATTTGGTTTGGTTTAAAATAAGAAGTCTGACATTTTTCAAGAGAATTAAATATGAAATTCACCCTAAATCCTAGAAAAAAATATACAATCTTCTCTGACAGAGGGAGAGATTACAAAGATGAAAATACCTGGAGGAAAAGTTAGAGTGTTCCACTAGATAGAGATTCAGAATAAGAGAGTTGGAAGGGACATTGTAGGTCATTTAATCCAACCCTCTGTTCAAGCAGGAGATCCTATACCATTTCTGGCAAGTGGCTGTCCAATCTCTTATTGAAAGCTTCCAGTGATGAAGCATCTACAATTTCTGAAGGCAAATTGATCCATTGGTTGATTGTTCTTACTGTCAGAAAATTTCTCCTTATTTCTAGTTGAATCTCTCTTGATCAGTTTCCATCCATTGTTCCTTGTCTGGCTTTTCAGTGGTTTGGAAAATAGGTTGACCCCCCTCTTCTCTTGGACAGCCCTTCAAATATTGGAACACTGTTATCATGTCATCCATGGCCCTTCTCTTCACTAGACTAGCCATGCCCAGTTCTTGCAACTGTTCTTCATACGTTTTAGCCTCTAGGCCACTAATCATCTTAGTTGCTCTTCTCTGCACTCTTTCTAGAGTCTCAACATCTTTTTTATAGTGTGGTGACCAAAACTGGATGCAGTATTCTAGGTGTCACTTACTAAGGCTTTATAGAGTGGTATTAATACCTCACATGATGATAGATAGGTAGATATGTAGGTAAGCATGTAGGTAGATATATAAATAGATTAGATATAGTTAGATAGATGATATCTATCTATCTATCTATCTATCTATCTATCTATCTATCAAGATAGATAGATAGATAGATAGATAGATAGATAGATAGATAGATAGATAGATCAAATCATCCAAACGATAATGAAAGTGCAAGCCTACTTCAGACAGGAACTAGTTACTTTTGGACTTCTCTACAAGTCCACTTGGTGGCATGATGTCCCACATAGTTTATCAGTTTTATAAATTGAAATTTAAAGAACATCCTTGTATAAAACCTTATTATATACCATTGTAATATTTATTTGTTTGTTTGTTTAGCTGCCCATTTACTGTCAGTATCTCTGGGCTGTTAAAAAAAATAAAAATCCAATATACAAACAATAAAAATAATAACCCCCCACACTCCTGGTGGTAACAATCAATCAGATAAGCCACTTGATGTGCTCCATCCCATTTTGACTTCCAGGTCATAACTTGACATAACCAGGTCGTCAGGTCCTTGCCAAAGAATATCAAAGTAGGAGCCAATCTAAATTCCATAGGAATGATGTTCCAAAGGGAGAAGGCCTTCTTCTGAGTCCCACCAAAAAGGCAATGGAGCCTAACATTTATTTCTATCTTATGTCTTCAGATCATCATCTTAACGGTAGAAGTCAGAGATCTTATACAGGTGAAACTCGAAAAATTAGAATATCATGCAAAAGTTCATTTATTTCAGTAATGCGACTTAAAAGGTAAAACTAATATATGAGGTAGACTCATTACATGCAAAGCAAGATAGTTCAAGCTGTAATTTGTCATAACTGTGATGATTATAGCTTACAGCTCATGAAAACCCCAAATCCACAATCTCAGAAAATTAGAATATTACATGCAATCAATAAAACAAGGATTGTACATAGAACAATATCGGACCTCTGAAAAGTATAAGCATGCATATGTACTCAGTACTTGGTTTGGGCCCCTTTTGCAGCTATTACTGCCTCAGTGCGGTGTGGCATGGAAGCTATCAGACTGTGACACTGCTGAGGTATTATGGAGGACCAGAATGCTTCAATAGCGGCCTTCAGCTCTTCTGCATTGTTCGGTCTCATGTCTCTCATCTTTCTCATGGCAATGCCCCATAGATTCTCTATGGGGTTCAGGTCAGGTAAGTTTGCTGGCCAATCAAGCACAGGAACCCTTTGCAGGTGTTATGGCTTAATTAGCTGATTAGAGTGGGACACTTTGGGCCTAGAATATTGAACCTTTACACAATATTCTAATTTTCTGAGATTGTGGATTTGGGGTTTTCATGAGCTGTAAGCCATAATCATGACAATTATGACAAATCACAGCTTGAACTATCTTGCTTTGCATGTAATGAGTCTATCTTATATATTAGTTTCACCTTTTAAGTTGCATTACTGAAATAAATGAACTTTTGCACAATATTCTAATTTTTCGAGTTTCACCTGTATAAGATCTCTGACTTCTACCATTAAGATGATGATCTGAAAACATAAGATGGAAATAAATGCTCCATTGCCTTTTTGGTGGGACTCAGAAGAAGTCCTCAGTAAAAATGTTTGGGAGTGGAGATTAATGTCAGACACAAAAAAAGAAGTCCACACATGAAGGTTCAAATAATTGATTTATTGTTTAAAATCTATGCAGAGAAATCTACTCCATGAATGGTCAGCATATGGTTAGAACGAGATAAGGATCAATGGCATTCAAGGGGTGGTTGCACTTGTGGCTATGTAATTGATTACTCTTTTCATTCATCCCTCTGGTTCTACCACTCTTCTCCTACATAAATAAAATCACTCTTCATTATAGATATTGGGCAGCATATACTTTGAATAAAGGTTGACGAAGAAGCAAGAATACATTTCATTTCAATAGATTTTCATATTATTACAATCTGATAATCAATTTCAGTGAACCTATGTTTATATAAAAAGAATGAATAGTAATGATTCAACATGACATTTTAAAAACAAGGTGAAATGTACAGCATTCAGAAACTTAATATAGAATAGTATTTATAGAAACTATTCTATAAATAGAAAGTATAAACATCATGAAAGTAACATGTCAAACATTGGACAAGCTTTGAGTCAAAACCTGAAAAGTCCTAACAATTCATGATAAATCAATTTTTTTCAAAGTCTCATGAAGTAGAGTGTTACAAGAGACAAAGCATTATATTCTACCATCTTGGAAAATAGTTGAAAATGCAGCACTCCAAACATTTATTTGGGGCAACTATAATAAATCTTGCTACAAAGACTCTCCTTTGACAAAAAATAAAACTTCTATATACTTTCTCTAGACAGCAAACAGTCTTTCTATTCTTTCTTGTCACTAACTTCTCTGGGCCAGAAAGATCACATGTTATACTAATTTCTCTTTGTGAGATGCTCCCTTTGGTTTAGTTCAGGCCGGAAAACAATGATGTAGCATTTTGGCAAGAATATGCATCCCAGTAATGCAGCACTGGAGGACAAGATGGAGAAGATCTCCACAGCTACCATGGCTTTTCCTTTTGTACTCAGATAGGCTGGAAAAAAGGAGATCCACACACTGCAAAAGGCCAACATACTGAAGGTGATGAACTTGGCTTCATTAAAGCTGTCAGGTAATTTACGGGCAAGAAAAGCCACAATAAAGCTGGCCATAGTCAAGACACCCATGTAGCCCAAGACACAATAAAAGAAGAAAGCTGACCCCTCATTGCATTGTAAAATCATTTCTTGGAGCTGTGAGTGCATGTCTAACTCAGGGAATGGTGAAGATGTTGACAACCAAATAATACAAATACATACTTGGAAAAAGGAGCAGGAAAAGACAGTAGAAAAAGCCAATCTTTTCCCTAACCATCTTCTCATGTGAGATCCTGGTTTAGTAGCCATGAAAGCAACCAGCACAATGATGGTTTTGGACAGCACACTAGAAATAGCCACTGAGAATGTGGTTCCAAAAGTTGATTGTCGGAGAAGGCAGGTCACTTTACCAGGTTGGCTGAGGAAAAACAAAGAAGAGAGAAAACAGACCAGAAGAGAAACAAGCAGGGTGTAGGTAAGGGACTGGTTGTTGGCTTTGACAATGGGAGTGTCCCTGTGCTTAATAAAAGTTCTAAGTACCCAAGATGTCAAGAAAAAGAAACCAAGAGCTGATGACGCTAAACCAATTCCTAAGGGTTCTTCAATAGTTAGAAATACCACCCGTTTCAGGGTACATCCATTCTTTTCTTTATTTGGATAATGATCTTCTGGACATTCAAAACAGTCATCCATATCTGGGAGGAAAGTCAAAGAAATTTGTTATCTGGGCATTCCAAATCAATGAAACTCATTTTATCCATTGTAAGCATCGTAAACTTGTATATACAAGTTT